CTCGAACAGTATCAACATAAAATGAATTTTCACATTGACGTACAGTTGTTTATCGAGTTTCTTCTCGTCTATTATTCACTTTTTTAGATGCTTTACGACAATAATTAGCTAAACGTTTACGTTCAATTGATAATTGAATATATCTTCTGGTAATTCATCAAATGATTGAGTATTATTATTAGTGTTAGTTAAAAAAAAAGATTAAGATTATTTATTGAGAGACAGATCAATGTACAATCTTTCTTTGGTCCATCTGTAAATGATTTTTTCTCAACTGATTGTCCATTAAATGAAAATCATTTATTTTCAAGTTGTAATTGAAGTCGTTGGACTTCACTACGTGTAGCTGGAATATAAGTTCCACGCCATATTTAATCCATAAAATTCTCTATGTTTTGACATCAGAATATTAAGTAAATCGAAATCATCAGAAGCGTTTTTTCACAGTTCATCATTTTTTAAATTTTAACAACCTTTTTTTCTGTGCATGAAAAAACGTTAACTTTAAACAGATTACCTGTTTAAGAAATGCCAACTTTGACTTCAAAATTTTGAACAACAAGGTAAAATAATAGTGATAAATCAGTGGCATCAATGTCTTAAAATAGAACAATAATAGAAGTATCTTTTTAAATACTTTACATTAAATCATTTTCAGTTATCAGCAAGAATTTTTCGTTCTCTCTAGACGCTAAATTATTTTTCTTAGTATTCGTACTGCAGGTGTACGTCTAGTGGAGAGGAACGAATAACAAATGAATTATTTCAATTCATTTGTTATACAGGCTAACATAAACGAAACTATTTATTGTTCATTTCATTTAGTCAATGAACAAAAAAAACAATTCTTAGCCATGGAATTTTCAAAGATATCAAAAGGTTCTCAAACAATTGATCGTAATCAAGCGGATACATATAGTTGTAATCATAACACTCGAAAAAATATTTTTCTTCTAACATTATTATTAGAAAAACTTGGGTTTAATTCAAATGATACACAAGGATCTGATTTACTAGATGATGCTAATATGATCTGTAAATAAATAGTTCATCTGTTCTTTCCTACACAATTTAAATTATTTATATCATTCTAACTGATGGTTTCATCAATCTTGATGATATGTTATCTATCATTGATAAGCTGTTGGTAAAAAAGAAATGAACCTATTGAAGTTGTTGATGATGAACCGGTAAATATATCAATGAATATTTTTTTGTTTTTGCTTCTTCTCACTGTGACTGTAGTCGAGTCAATTTATCATTCTTGACTATGTTCATTTTTGTCCAAATTAAATGTGAATTATAGATCTTGTCTCATATCTAATATATATGTCTTTTGATCGATTATAGGATGAAGATTAATTATTAAAGAATCTTAAAAAATTTGTAAAACGGGTCAAAGAATTAACTGCTGAAAATGTTGTTGTTACGAAAGATATGATCAAACAACTTCAACAAAATTTTAATATTCCTGATCATCTATTGGAATAAAAACCTTTGGTTTTTTTTTTTGTATTTTTTTGGAAAAAAAAATATCTGATAAATATAAGAAACAAGAAACAGGTTTACATTTGAAATTGAATAATATTTCTTTTCTTTTACGAGAGCAGAGAAAGAGTAAATAATGATCTATGTTCGCAAGCAAGGTGAAACACTATCAGTTAATAATCATTAATTTACAAGAATAATTGGATATGCGTTTACAACAACGACAAACTCGTAAAACAGAAATTTGTCTTGTACGATGTGAACTTTTTTTCACAATGTTTTGCCTGACACACATATATATATATAATGTTATTCTTTAAATATTTATTCTTCTTTAGAATTAATATAAATTCAAATTTAATATTCTTCTATGGAATAGAAACTCATTTTATATAAAAACCATTATTCATAAAAGCTTGACAAAATTGTTTTTAGAATTTCATGAATTTTCCTTAAAGACTTTGTTTTATTTATTTATTTGAAATACTTAGGGCATACCAAAAGTTCGTAGAGTGATACCTTAATACCTTATAATAAGCTTTAAGTAACTTTCTTTCTATATCATCTGATGGAGAAAAAAAAGCTCTATCTTTCTATGCTATTTGATCAAATTTCAACTAATATCATAATATTAAATTATCTATTAAACCTATTTCGGCTGGTTATGTGCTGGTTGTATAAATGCTCGTGTGTATTTTTTGAATAACTTGCGATAGAAATAAGGTAGAGAAATGCGGTTTTCACCGTTAGAAAGAGGAGATGAAATTGCAT